GAAACAAAATCAAATAAGCTAGTATAGCAATATTTAGACAAGACATTTTATTTTAAAATAGTATTTTATGTTTCCACTATTTTAAAGGAAAGGTTGTTTAACCTGTAATTGGAAAATTTCTAAAAAAATATATTAAATAGACTTTTAATATCACAGCTAAGCAATTTTCTAATAGCTTCACAGTCTCAGCCAATAGAAACAACAGGAAAAACATGCAGGAAGCTTCAGAACAGACTGGAAAGCTTGCAAACTCTGGTAGAAGATTTACAGATGAAGAACCAAGGTACAGTTTGCATTTTGGCGAGATCTTCTTTGCTCAAAAGAATATTCACCTCCCCTTCAGATTAAGCCTCCCACTGCAAAGGATTTTTAATAAGCAGTTCAGAAACCTTAGCCAAAATGCAAGGGTCTTAACCATGACTAAGCCCTGGATTAATTGTGTGACCTTAGGCAGGTCGCTTTAGCCCTGCTGCACTGTGGACAAGCACTTAATCGACCACTGTCGATAGCCAGCAAACTAAATAATGGGATTCAGCCTTACACAGGATTTTAATCAACATGGGCTACAAGAGACTCTGCCACCCAATGAATCATTAAATAAAAAGATAAACTACTGTAAATATACTAAAGCCATTTGAATGAGAAACTATTGTACTTTGCAGATGATAGGCAACTTTGGGGCATGAATTCTAAGTGAGTGCTCTCATGGATATGGGAGATATGGATATGTTCTCATGGGTTTGGGAGGGCTGTCATGTTTTATGCTTTTCTGAAATAAATTCATGAATCCAGGAGCCTTTGTCAGAGAGAAATTAATTTTGGAGTATATATGTTATTCCATCTTTCCATTTCTAGAGAATATAAATTGCTAGATGAAGGATAAATATTTTTCTAAGAACAGCTTCTTATAAAATAATTAGTTGTACAAATGCACAAAAGTCTGTTTACAAAAGTATTTCCTATAGCATTGTTTATAAATGAAAATATGAAAGCATCTTTTAAAAATTTATGTACTAACATGATGATACATCTATAGAATGGAATACTTTGCTGTCATAACAAAACATTAGCTGAACTGGAAACATGTTGACATTTTGTCAAGTGAATAAAGCAAGCTATAGAACAATTTTTACCACATTTTCATTATGTAAAGAAGAAAGCTTGTGTGTGTGTGTGTGTGTGTGTATGCGTATTCACCAAACTGCTTACAGTGATGACCTCTGAGGTGGGGTTTCAGCAGATGGAGGAAACGGAGACAAAGACTGTCTTTTATCTCTCTTTGTACACTTTTGAGGTGTTCAAATTATTTACAATTAGTATGTATTCTATAATAATAATTATTGTGCTCATTTAAAACAACTGAAAGAGTAAAGATTTTTCCTTAGCTCTGTTCCATAACATCAGTCTTTTCAAATATCTGCAACTTTGCAATTTTTAAGAACTTCTGTTCAGAATGTATCTTATTCTATAGTAGCAAGCTGGCCTTTTAAGAAGTACATAATAGAATTAAAGCTATTCTAACTTTGTTTTATCGACATTTTCAGCAATGTCTTCAATGATCAGAAATCAAGAAAAGAGGATACAGAAAGTGAAAGACCAGGAAAAAATGTTACTCAAATGATACGTTGCTTGCCTGTCGACAGAGGGATGATGCCCAGTTAATTGTGGTATTACTTATAAGTAGTGCCCTGTGAACTTTTTCCTTTTTATGTGAAAATTTAATAAAAGATACCCTGTCCTGTAAACTTTATTTTGAAATAAACTATTTTTGAATACTCTCACAGTAGAACTTCAAGCAGTACTAGCTAGATGTGAAAGTATTCATAACTTATAAGGTATTAATTTGTGCTACTTACTAGTGTATTGGAATAATTATTTTTTTTAATTATCTTTACTGGTGCCAAGGCAATAGTTGGTCTTTATTTCCACCCCCACCCCCCAGCTAAAAAAAAACTTTCACATGAAAGATGCCTGGAACAGAAGGACAAACTCCAACATACTGACAGGGATTCCTTTTATGACCCTGAACTCACTGTTTGTTCTGTCAATATCAATGAATGTAATCAGGTAACAAAACATTGGAGCTCCTAATCAAAACTTTTGGGAAAGTTTCTCTTTTACGTATTAATAACTATAAAGAAAGAAAGAAAATATGTTATTCTTCAGTCAGTGGGTAACTTCTACAGATTGAATGGAATCAGTTTTCCTTAATTAGATTTTAATAAATTAGGAGGTTTTGTATGTGGAGTGTTTTCTAACACCAATAACCAATTCTCTGTGGACACCAACTATTGGTCAATTCAGTTTTGACACTAGTCAGATTCTCCAGATTTAAGTGTTCAATCTCACAAGACTGCCCCTCACTTCAGATGCCAACCACAGGTCCCAGGTCACCTGTACTTTTTGACTGACAGGTTATAAATTGAGGGTTCTCAGAACCTCCTCCTGATTTCAGTAATTTGCTAGAATAGGTCACAGAACTCAGGAAAGTGCTTTAGTTACTGGTTTATTACAAAAGAAACTACTCAGGAACAGCCAGATGTAGGAGATGCATAGGGCAATGTACGGTGTTCAGGTGCATGACACATCCATGCCCTCTCAGGGTATGCCACCGTCTCAGCACCTTGATGTGTTCACCAGCCCCAAAGCTCATTAAATTACATCATTACTGTCATACATCTCTTAACAACACGGATACGTTCTGAGAAATGCATTGTTAGGTGATTTTGTCATTGCACAGACATCATAGAGTGCACTTACACAAATCTAGATGGTAGAGCCTATTGCTCCTAGGCTCCAAACCTGTACAGTGTGTTACTGCACTGAATACTGTAGGCAGTTGTAACAGTGGTATTTGTATATCTAAACATATCTAAACATAGAAAAGGTATAGTAAAAATACAGTATAAAAGATTTTCTTTTAATGGTACACCTGTATAGGGCACTTAGCATGAGTGAAGCTTGCAGGACTGCATCTTGTGGGTGAGTCGGTGAGTGGTGAGTGAGTGTGAAGGCCCAGGACATGACTGGACACTACTGTAGACTTTATAAACACTGTACACTAAATTTATAAAACAACATGAGGTTAAATCAAGCACAAGAGAAAATGATGCAATCAAGAGACAGTAAACACGGGATGTGGCTGCTGCCAGTATCACACAGTATACTGTTTCACGGCAAACTTTTTTTGTTAAGTAAAGAGTACACTCTAAAATAACAAAAGTATAGTATAGCAAATACATAAACCAGTAACAGTTTATTATTATCAACTATTATGCACTGTGCATAATTGTAGGTGCTATACTTTTATATGACTGGCAGCACAGTAAGTTTATTCATACCAGCTTCATCACAAACACGTGACTAATATGTTGTGCTGCGATGTTGAAATGGCTACCACATCACTAGGTGTTGGGACTTTTCAACTCTATTATAATCTTATGCAGTTCTTGTTCTATCATTGACCAAATCATCATTCTTGGGCACATGACTGTAAGAGTTTTTTTAGGGCTTAATCCTGTCCCCTTTCTTTCCCAGAGACTGGTGGATGGAGTTGAAAGTTCCAGTCCTCTAATCACTTGGTCTTTCTGGTGACCAGCTTCTTTGGGGCTATCCAGGGGCCCCACCCTTAATCACCTCATTCGCATAAACTCAGGCGTGATCTGAAGGGCCTCATTATGTATAACAAAAGGCACTCCTATCTCAAAAAATTCCAAGGGTTTGAGGAGCTCTGTCAGAAACCTGGGACAAAGACCAAATATACCATAATATAGTATGTGAACCAAATAAGACAATAAGAACGTATACAAAAATGTTTCAATTGTGCCAAAGGCAATAGAGACAATGTGGCAGAAGGCTAGCTGTCCAAAAGAGCCTACAGTTCCATTCCATAGCACAGATGTCACTAAGAAACAGCTGCTCAGCTGGAGGCTCTCCCAGCCCCACCTCCCCTTCATCTAGGTGTGGCCGCCTGACCAGTTCTCATTAATGGCATGTGGACAGAGCAATATATGGCACTTTCTGGCCAAGTTTTAGTAAACAGTTGTGATTTTCCCTCACTTTACTCTTCTTCCATGGGCTGGTTACAGAAGACAGTGAGTCACAGGACAGAAGGAGCCTAAGTGACAATCTCTGCAAGGGGAAGAGCTGCCCTTCTACCAGGGGTCTCCATGGCTGACTGTTTAGTAAGAAACAACTGTTGTTGCAGCCTTCTTAATATGTGTGGAGTCTGTGACAGGAGTTAAAGTTAGCCCTTACCAGTACCGATAATAAACTAGGGCATACAGACTCTCACAGTAAAATCCTTTTTTCTCTTCTCTATGACAGTATTAGCACTCTATGCACATCCAATTTTAAATAACAATTTTAAATGTATAAAGTTTAATATATATATATAATCAATTGGCTTTATTGATTTTTATCTGTTAATGATAAAATGGCTAGTGATCGAACTCTAAAAAGATTTTTATTGTAAATTGTTTTACCTTTAAAATTTTATCTAATAGAAATGCTTGGGCATTCTGGGCTGTAATACTAAATGCCTTATGAAGACCCCACTGGTAGAATATTAAATTCATTATGAAGTATATAAGAGGTATGCATGAATTTAACATAATAATGCTGAGCCAAAAAGTATCAAATAGTTTTTTAAAGCACTTTCTAACACTGTCTTCAGTTGGCTTTAAGCTTTTTTCGGCAAAGACCATCTGTAATCAAAATTAAACAATGTTTTACCAAAAAATGCTACACTTATTAAAAGTTGTTTTAACATATAAGAATTCATTTTCAAGTGTAGGCATGCATAATACCCTCCATAGGTACAGTTTTAAAAGAAAGATTCTAAAACTTTGTCTCCAAAGGGAGAAGAAAAACAGACTTCTCTGCCTCTTGATGTTTGCTTTCTTCTGTATCTTATTAATGGAAGAAAATATTAGTATTTTATTTATATCTAAGCTATTGTTACTAGGATTTAGACAAAAAAAAAAAATCCAGACATTTAATAAAGATATTAAAACCCAGGCTTTATTTTTTTAGTTATAATAGCAAAGTTCAAGTGTTTCTTTTCAGAGCAAAGATTCACTTCTCTACCACTGTCCTGTTATAATTTGATTACCCAAGATAGCTACTGCTATGAAAGGAGAGAAAAGAGGGTGAAACAGTTGCTATGGGACAGCTCATCTGTCGGGGTCCGTGTGGTGGGCAGAGATGGTCCTACAAAGGCCCCAGGAATAAATGATGGGTGTGTTGCTCCCTGCAGTCAGGTGTATGTACCTGTTCCTCTCAGCCCTCTAGAGCTTTCATTCAGGCCTCCTGGCTAAGCCCCATTCCTGTTCCCTTTCCTCGTAGGCTGCTCCCAGTGGTGGACTCTGTTGAGGCCCCTTGTTTCTATACCAGCCTTTGATCACAAGACAAAGACATACTTGCTACCTTCAAACCATACCAGGCAGGTAAAATCAAGCCAAAAATATTGGGAAGTCTTAATGAATTACCTCATATCCTCGCTAATCACATCTAGTAAACAGATATCACAGTTCATATGGTGTTATCTGTTTTTAAACGTAAAGTGTCCATGTAGTAAAGAGCGTTTCTCCAGCTGTACCAATAGGAAAACAGCTTTTTGAATGTAGCTTGTCTTACTTCCTTGATTTAAGATCACCCAAAGGCTCAAACTTGAACCCTGTGTAGCTAGTTATTTTTTATGATCCCTGACCAGGCCACACCTGAAGCTTAACCAAGTCACTCCCCAAGAGGACTAAACCCTAAAATAATGATAGATCAGCCTAAATCTATCCATCAGTGCCACAGGAAAAACAGCCCATGCTCACTGGAAGCATTATCTATGTATATATATTTCTGCGCATTAGACACAAGCCACTAGCAAATTTGAAAAAACTCTGATGGCTAAATTTGGAGTTATACATGCTTTATTTTAAATTATTCACTGTGCTCCATTACCTTAGCCTCTTCCGCATTCTGCAATGGCCTCTTCAATACTTTGCAAACTGAATCAGTGAATCCCCCAGGACTTGTGAACCACTTTATCCTCATAGCCGGTCTCTAATAACCTATTGCTGCATTCTTCCCAGCGAGTAACTTTCCCATTCTCTACCACCACAAATTTCCATTCCACCATTGTATCTGCTGGCAGGTACACAGAACGAGACCAGAACCCATCCTTGCTATACTGAAGGGGGATGTAACTCTTCCATCTCCCAAGCCTCTCATGGTCTCCAGTTACTGCAATGAATTGCACACCAGTGCTTGTGATATAATGGACCTGGAACCTGACACTAACTTGCTGAGACTCTGAAGACATAGCTACTACCCTTTTTGTTTTAACATCCACTTCCTGACTTCTTGCTTCCACAAGAGTGCTTCTGCCATAGTCCAGTCCCTGGTTTGGGCTTAATGTTGGAGACTCAGGACTGCCACTCAAACCAATATCTCCCCAAGATGAGTGCCTGGACACCATTTCCCAGTCCTCCTGGTCAGCCATGTCCTGACTGTCCAACTGTGCACGGCTCACTTCTTCTTTAACTCTGTCTATGAGCAGGTTGCTAGAAGGCAACTTCCCTACAAAATATGGAGCTGCTTTAGCAGGTGTGTCTTGTCTTTTATGGAATCTTATATGAGATTCACAGCTTTCATTTCTTGAAACTTCAGAGTAACTCTTAGAGTTTCCAGTTGCAGATGTAGCTAGAGATTCTTTGTCTGGAAACCACCCAGAAGGAACATGCTCTCTTGAACTGTCACAGTCACCACCTTCTCCAGAAGGACTCTGTAGTCTCCATGCTGCTTCATGCGCATTACCAGGACTGCTGGGCTCTGAAACCAAACATCCATTGCTTTCTTGAAGATATTCTTAAAAAAAAAAAAAAAAAAAAGTAATAGGCAGTTCTCATGAGGAAAAAGGCTGAGAAAATAAGTTTAGTCATTGAGGACTTTACCACTAATCTATCTGCAGTTCACAAAATCTATCCCTATTAAAAGCAAGTACTTAATTACCTAGTTCAGACACTAACTGAACCAATACTGTGCTCTAAGAATATATATGTATATCCAACAATAAAAGGCACATCCAGGAGTGTCAATGACATGGCAAGTTGTAGAGGCAGATGTCATAGTCCTCAATCCCTGAAGTCCAAGCAATACTTGGCATGCAACCAAGTCAAGTTGTTTGGCTTCTGTTATTAAAAAAAAATGTTACACAGCCTGCGGTGCGAAGGGCTGCACAGCTACCCTAGGAAGCAGCAGACTACACACAGATGCCGGCAGACCAGCAGTACTGTCACTGTGGGAGAACAGGAAGTCCTGCAGTGCATCACTGGGCAAGAATTGAGGGGAGGGCTGGTTTCCCCCTGCCAGTCCCATGTGCATCAGGAAGCTCTTCAACAAACTATAGACTTCTTACATCCCCGCCCACTGTACACTTTAAAAAAAAAATTCTTAAAAGTGCATGATCCAGTTCTCTAAAGACTCACTCTCCTTCTTGACCACCTCAATAAGTGTAAATTGCTCCCTATAAGATCAAAATCTCCCATATCATACAATGAGCACAGACGGGGTTTTTTTGTATGTGTGTGGGGAGTGGCGGTGGGTGGGAGAGAGAAGTCGGTCTTTAATTTTTTCTCTTTAATGGTGGTGTCAGAATTGAGACGTAAACAAATATTACTCAGAATTCCCAATCTTTCAACCTAAAACATGAGGCTGGCTTTCAGATAGAGATAAATGAGCTCTCTGGTCATCCCAAACCAAACCAGGAAAGGCACAGGGGCAGATTTTCAAGTGGCTACAGATGAGCACCACTAAAAATAAAGTTTACAGATGTCATTTTCACCAGGAGATTGGATCCAAGCATGGGCAGTTTGCCAAGAAAGGGCACTGGAAAGTAAGGATTTCTGCCAGTGCTCCTACTTTGCCTAGCATACCGTCTCTAAAATATAGAGACTTAAATATAGGTGTTTATACATCTGAGTTAGACAACCCTGCGCGTAGTTCGGGTGAGACTCGGGGAGGGCCGATAGTTCTGAAACGAGCGGCCAGCGTACAGCTCCCGGGCTTCAGTCAAGGCCTTCACGGCCAGAGTCCACCATGAACTTTGCCTTCCTGGCAGAGGCGCTCACTGCTTGGGTGTTCCCAAACCCAGGTCTTCCATGGGGTGAGGGATGGAAGGACATGAGGCTATGGGATAGGGACTGAGAAAGACTCCCTGCTGAGACCGAAGAGGGTCGTAGGATCCCAGTAAACCTCAGCACCCCTTTCCGAAGCCCCGCAGGGGCTCCGCCGCTGCAGCTGCCCGCACTGCACCACGCACCGCCAAGCCGAGGAGACCATCCCGCCGGAGGGGCAGCGGCAGGTCCTTAGGGGCGGGAGCTGACGGCAGAGACTTAGCGGGGCGCGGTCCTCAAGATCTGCCAGGGCATCTCCCGGGCCTCAGTGGGGATCAAGGAACCTGCCCGGCGCGTGCGCACTAGTCGGGCAAAAATGAGAGGTGTGGGGAAGAGTCCTGCCCCGCGTAGGAGAAGCTCGTCGACGGGAAAAAGCCGTTAGGAAGGCTCCGGATGGGTTTGTTTCCTCCCTGGGTGAACTTGAAAGCCCCCTGGCAGAACAGCCCTCGAGACGCGAGGAGGAAGAATACCTGGTTTGGTGACCAGCTCCTGCGTGGAAGGTCCAGGGCTCAGTCCCCCGCGGGCACCTTCATCGCCTCCCGCAGCCGCAGCTTCCCCAGGAGAGACATCCTTCTCCTTCTCCGCGTCCCCCTCCTTTCCCGTGTTCCGCAGCAGCCAGACGAAAAGCGCTCCGGCCAGACCCCCACCAACCAGCAGGGCGGACCAGACGGCACCCATGGCTGAGAGGCCGCAGCTGCGGGAGACGACGGCGACCGGACAGGGGCTCAGGTCACGCAGGCAGAGCCACACCTACCCCGTCCGCTCCAGCCTTTTACGGTCCCAGTTGGCTGGCGCATCTCTGCCGAGCCCAGCCCTCCGCGGCTAACACTCAACTTTGCCGGCCCCGCCCCGCGCCGCTCCCTGCGGCTGCAGCCCCAGGCTCGGCCCCGCCGGACTGGGGCGCTCTCCTTTACCAACATTTTCCACTGCCAACCCCGCCGGTCGCTGGTGGCCGAGGGCACTGGGTGCCAGGTTCCACGTGTGTCCCGCACGCGTGAAGAGCCCAAGAGCGCGCAGCCACTACGCGCAGAACCGGCCCAGCTCCGCCGCCTTTGCTTCTCACGCTACTGCCCGCAAGGCCCAGCCCGCCCCGGCGCCTCCTCCCCGTAGACGCTCCGCAGCCGCGCCGCCGGCTACAGGCAGCAGCTTCCCGGAACGAAGACGCGGGCGAGACGGGCGCGCGTCCCGGCCGCGCGAGGCTGGCGCTCGGGCTGGAGCGGCAGCTCGGCCGGGTGGGCGCGGTAGGCAGCGAGCACCGCGGGCGCGCTGCGGGGAAGCCGGGAGGCCTAGTGGAAGCTCCATTCCGCTGCCAGTTAGGGATGCTTAGCCTCCCCAAGCCTCCGCCTCCGGCCTATAAAATGAAAGGACTGGACTGAGAGACGTCCATCTATAAATGCCAATCGTCTCAACCATCTCCAGTCGTTGTTTCTTCCTCGACTCTTCTTGGGATGGGTGCTTGTTGCCCAATGCGTGCTCTCTGGTCTGGGCTGGAAGTTGCCCAGGGACGAGCTCCTACAGATGGGTTTATTAATGAAAATAGAAACCCTCTTTGTTAAGCTTTGTGTGCCAAGTGTATAATGTATGCATTTAATTCGATCTTCACAAAACAACCACCACCCTGTGAGCTAAGAATTATACACATTTCTTTTGTTGAAAGGTCAAAATTCAACGAGTAAATTTGAAGATCGAATTGGTTTTATTATTCATTCATGTATGGGGCAGCATCCCATCTAGCAACTAAAAGGGCGCTCTGAGGTGTACAAATGAAAAATGTAAAGGAAAGGATTTTATAGGATGAGGAGTGGAGCAAGGGATCTATTAGTCAAATATATATGGAATTTTGAGGCTTGGACATCTTTGGGGGGAAAAGAAAGGAAAGGGTTTTTATTATGTAGACTGCCTCTTTCTTTCCTTGGGGAATGGAGAGGGCCTATGTGACAGATTACTCTACTGGTGCTTGACCAGAAAATTTCATACTGATTGATTATGTTTCTGGGAGAGTTTGATATGGCAGTTAGATCAGGTATTAAATCTAGGTTTGATATCATGAACTTCTTGCAAGAATGTCTTCATTTTGGGCCTTTTTTTTTTTTTAACACTTTCTAAATTCACTCCTCTGCTGAGCTCATGGCTTTACACACCAATCTCTAGCTAATGAGTCCCACATCAGTATCTGCAGGGTAAGACTTTCTTTTGAACTACACACCCCTATATCCAACTGCTAAGGCCACAGCTGGCAAATATCTGCCTTTAAATAACTACTAAAATAGCTCCCTCTGGTAAAACAAGTTGTTCAATGCACACTCCTGCTCTAGGGCCCTCAACCACAGACCTGACTGATCAGTGGCCTGTTAGGAACCTGGCCACAGGGCACGAGGTGAGCTGTGAGCAAGGGAGCGGAGCTTTGTCTGTATTTGAGGCTGATTGCCTCAGCTCCACCTCAGATCATAGCGCATTAGATTCTCATAGGAGCACCAGTCCCTGGTGCCTGGTGCCTGGTGCCTGGTGCCAAAAAGTGAAAGACCACTGATGTAGGGGACAGCAGCCCCTGGTGGTGTGCAAGGATCAGCCAGTGGAGTTACTGGAGGGCTGGCACGTCCCTACAATAATAAGGGAGGGAGTAGAGGAAGTGTCGGGGAGGAGACCACCAACTGGGCATCTCATTTTGGATGCTACTAGACATCTCAAATCCAACTCACTCAAATCTGACCTCCCGATCTTCCTGCCCCAACCTGCGACTTGCCCGGTCTTCTTCAGAAGTGCAACCACATCCTTTCCCATTGCTGAAAAAACAACTTAAGAGTCATCCTGCATGGAGACTTTTTTCACCCTCAGTAGGCAATAGAAAATTCTGCCACTCTTTCTTCAAAATGCATTTAGAATTCTACTTTTTTCCAAGGAAGTTACTTACATACACCCTGGTCTGCCACCTTCATCTGTCACCTGGATTACTGCAGTCACCTCTCACTGCTCTCTTCCTGCTTCTACCCTTGAGCCCCCTACAGGCTACCTTTAAAGCTAGCATCAGGCTACTGTCAGAAGGCTACTGTTAAAACACTCCTTCATCTGCTTCTCTGCCTCATCCTCCAATTGCGCTATATCTTATGGCAAAGACTTTTAAGACCCTACGAGATCTGTCCCCTGTGACCTCTCTGAGCTCATCTCCATCTCTTCCTCCTCCAGCTACACTGGCTTCCCGGCCTAGACTCATTCTTCCTGCAGACAGCCATCCAGATATCTATTCTCTTCCCCTCAGCCTCTTCAGGGCTTTGCACAAGTGTCATCTGCCCTGTGAGCCTTTCCCTAGTAATCCAATTTTAACTAAAACCCCCTACTCCCTATACCTTTTCCTTATTTATTTTTCTACTTAGCATTTAGGGCGTCACTTTGAATACACTCAATAATCCATAGATTTGTTCTGTTTAATGTCTCTCCTTTCTTTAGAATGTAAACTACTGAGTGAACGGATTAAAAGCTCCACATCTGGAGCATTATTGTCATTTTCTTTATATAGATTCTATATACATTTTTAACACAATGTAGATGCTACTTTTGTCATGCAGTTTTCATGTCAAACTAATTAAAGACTCGATGGTAGACTTTTTAAAGACCTCTAAAGTTTAAAACCACTGAAAACCACCCATCTGTCTCAATTCAGGCGGCCTTAAGATGACAAAACCAATGTTGAGATGCATATGAAAACAATAAAAAGCGGTAGCAAAGCTATATTTTTAAGTAAGTGACTATCCCTATATAAAATAGCCTTCTCTTAAGGACTCTGTCTTTTATGTACTCTATCTTACTATCTTACTCTGTCTTTTACGGACTCTATTACAGACTCTGTCTTACTAAATGGTTCTTAAAGACTATTGTAGATCTAATTTTTAAGTCAAAATTTTGTAGAAAAAAATTAGAATTATTCTCCTTTTGTCAAAGTAAAAGTTGATGTTATAGGATGTCCTTGAATTTTACAAACTCTAAAACTCATAAAGTACGTTTATTAAACTTATGAAAATCTAACATTTTCTTTCTATTTCCTGACTGATAACTTCAGTTGCTGCTTCATTGATCAGTTTATGATTATTATTTTATATCAATGTGCTAATGAATGAAATCCCAGAGGATCTGTAAAATCCTAGAATGCAATCTCCGCTGTTTCTGATATCTAGAAGGCTCTTAATAAAAGTTTATTGTTGTCATCAATTGCTATTTCATTTATTAATGAAAATGACACAATTCTTAATGAAAATGACACAATTCTTCCTAAGCCATAGAATTCTTTTCATATTGTATCAAATTTATTATGCAACATTTTTAAAGATCATGATTTATTTGGCTTTTCTGAACTGAAATGTTGACTCATTAATTACTGTGTTGCTGCTTTTTAAAAAAATTCTCCACTCACTACCATATTTATTGAAAGTCTGTAGTCGGCGTATTCTAAAAACACTCTTAAAGCACTAACAACACTGTGTCTATCACTATACAATTGCAAAATAATGTTCTTTGCCTCTATGTAGAAGACCTTTGAGCCTAGGAAGACAGGAGCAAAAAAGGAAAGCAGAGCAGGAAGACGATGAGTTCCATGGGATGAGGTGCTAGCAGGAAGTTGGAACTGGGGGTGTGTGATTTAAACAGAGATATTGGAATTTTCTCACAGAGAGATGGCAATTAAATTCATGGTAGAGATTAATGTTCTGAAGAGAAATCAAGAATGAGCCAATAACTTCAGCTCTTGGCATAATTTCAAGAAGAAACATTGGAAAGCTGCCTTCATGTTGCAAGCTAGGTTACAATTAGGTCTTGATGTTATATTTCAGAGGGCATTTTCTAAGTGATTATTATTCTATCAAATAAATAGATACAGATATTGATGGACATTTAAAAATTATATATATTTATATATTATATATACTTAAGTATATATATTTACATATTTCTTCTTCTTTAACCTCATGCAAGAAAAGATTGCTCATTCCTGGTGTAGAGAGATGAGGACAAAACAATGAAAAGCAGCTCTGTTAACAGGGCCGTGGACTTAGAGAGGGTGGGAAGGAAGAGCAAGGAAAGAGAAAACTGGGACACTTATTTCCAAAGTCAGGTATGAAAAGTGGTGGGAGGAGGCAATGGAGGTGTGACCCAATAGAGTTTAAGTGGATAGAGGACTGAGAAAAAATGGTTGGATTCGACATACACTAGGTCATCAGTGACTCTGCAGTGTTTGTGAATGTGAGTGTTCGATTTTGGAAGGCTGGGATGTAAATATGATGAAAGGTTGTGAAGTCCGACATTGAATTAGTCATCTCTTGAGAAATTTGGAGGCAAAGGGTAGGAGAGAAATTAAAATGTCATCTAAGAGTAGAGCAAGGCCCAAGGGAAGTTCTTTCAGACAAAGCTGGGCATGTTTGTAAGCAGGGCAGAGCCAGTAGAGATGTAGCCTGAAGATGTAAGAGGAGAGGAAATAACCCCTGGGAATTCCATAGGTAGAGGAAGCGATGGGTCAAGAACAGTGGAAGGGTTGGCCTTGGATGAAAGGAGAAGAGACGGGTATGAAAAAAGAAAAGAATGAATAGAAACATTTTGAGGTACAGAGGAGGTGGAAGTGAGGTTATCAGCTGAGAGAGGAAGGAAATCCAGCTGAGGCGTTAAGACAAGCAGCGAGGTAGGAAACAGCCTCTGGGAGAGGAGGTCCCCCATTGGGAGACCTTTACCTCATCGAGTGCTGCTGATTCTTTAGTCACGGGCCTCTTACATTGCTCCCCTCTCTGTCATTCCCAGTGCCCTTGCCCCCATTAAGGTC